AAAAGAAAATTTTTAGCTTTTTTGAAATTGCCTAAACAAATATTATTTCAAATTTTTGAATTTGGAGACCGAAAATATAATTCATGGTACAAAATTGTACTGAATATAATTTTTAAATACATATGTAATCCTCGTTTCTTACAAATAAAATAAATTTTAATTGCAAAATTGTAATAAACATAAAGAAATCGAAAACTATATAAAAGGTCATTGCTTACTTTCAARCTTCAATCATCTTCGTGTCTATCATATTTTTTCGAGCCCCTACCTATGATCATACCTTTAGCAAATCAATGCGCACTTATTGTTGTACATATGTATGTATTTGTGTCTTTGTCCACGCACTACATGGTTCTCTACTTTATGGTACTTCCACACACCCAGAACTTCCACAACTCGAACAATTTCACTTTAATGCAAACGGTGTTAATGGTGGTCAGGCGGTTCGTGTCATGTGTATGGCCATCTCTGGCGATTTGCCCATCGATATACACTGGCTGAAAGATGGTCAACCTTTGTTGCGCTCGATTTATCACAAAATCGATGAATACACATTGATCTTATCGCTGCGTCAAACTACTATTGGTGATTCGGGAAATTATACGTGTGTCGCGAGCAATGCGGCGGGTGAGGCACGTCGTTGGTCAGTGCTGAAAGTGAAGGGTGAGGGCGTTGGTTGTTTCATTAGCCGCATGCGACACTCAGTTTCTGGAGTTTGATTTATTTTRAATTTTATTTTATATAATATGATCATTTGAAATTCTCTTTGCGTTGTAAGAAGTAAACCAAGCATTTAAGCAGCGAGCTTGACTGCAGATGCAGAGTGTTTGCAGTGACATAAAGGATGTTAAAAAGAGSCTAGGGAAAATTATTTGAAAATTTATAATGGATTCATATTTTTATGCGATCTTTTAAGCAAAAAATTAAAAAAAAAATTATAAAAAAAAAAAAATTTTTTTTTAAATATTTAAAAAAAAACTTAAAAGATAAATAAAAAATTGCTGTTTCTGAAGTATTTGAGATCGTATTTATTTTCAAATTTAAATACTATATAATTTTTAAAATTTTTCATCTTCTAACGAATTATGCTCTCTATACAAATAAATTCTAAGAAACCCCTTTTCTAACCAAACTCTACATCTCGGCCACACCCTGTCATATGGGTGACTTTGTGCAACTGACTTGCATTGCCAGCAAAGGTGATTTGCCTATTGTATTCAACTGGCATTTGAATGGGCAACGCGTCAATGGTGATTTGGCCACTTTGGCCAGCGTGGGCGAGCATACCAGTCTTTTGCTAATCAATAATGTTACTTCGACGCATGCGGGTCGCTATACATGTGAGGCAACAAATGCGGCGGGCAGCGCGAACAAGTCCGCGTCGCTGACGGTGAATGGTAGGCAAAAGGAAATTGGCTGTAGAAAATTGCATTCAATAGGATTTTATTACTATATTTTGAAATAAATTCTTAATTGCAAATAAAATATTAAATACTTTTTCCGCCATAATAATGCAATAAATTTGTTAATTGAAGTTTCTTAAAATTTTATTATAAATTTTATTAGCTATACTTGCAGCAGTTTGATCGAGCCTTAAGTGTAAAAATATACTYGTAATTTATTTAATTCAATAATTTGTTTCTAAAATAACAGACTTTGGAAAAGATTTTTTTGACTTTTTGCCACAATAAGAAACGTTTTTTTGTACAAAATAGTTTATTTTTGAAATTTTAGTCAAACTAATTTTTATGCAACCAAATTGATATTTTTCATAAAATTAAAAAAAAAAAAATTATGATAACAATTAAAAATCAAATTTATTGAATATGACTTTTTTAGAAATTAAAATTTAATTCAATTGAGGTTACATTTTCTTTTAAAATTAAGTATTTTTTTTTTTAATTTATCGAACCAAACTTTCACAACACAGTGAAGCCAATGTTTCTTTGGTCTACCATACCATAAATCACAAGCAGTTTTTAAGAAATGCTTTTTTGAGAAATTCTATTTTGACTTGTTAGTTATTTATTAACCTGAAAAATTTCATAATTTTTTAAATATATTATATATGTATAATAGATGAAGCG